AAAAAAACTGCTTATTTACTGCCATTAAGGCGGAACAAAGTTCGCCGGGTCAGCTAGTATATATATATAATTCAAATCAGACTGAGTTTCTAGTTTTAAAATCTTAAAAAATGAGGAAAATTTGGAAGCGTAAGCAACCTAACGGAATCAAATCTAGTTGTAGAAGATTTTGCGTCAGAATTTTCCGAACTAATTGAGAATGATTTTATATTAGCATTAGGGAGTAACACAGAAAAACATCTTATCAGTGATTATTTTGGTTCATTTTAGAAATCAAAAAATATAGCTGTACTAAATTCTAAGTATTCGCATCTTTCATACTTGAAAGTAATTTTTACGGGGATTATAATTTTGAAATTGCAATATTACCTGTTGATATTCCGCGTGAAGTTCATTGGGTGCTGGAAATTTTAACCTATTCTGATCTATTCTTTTGTTTGTTTGTTTTCAAAAATTACATTTTTGTTTTTACTTTTTTCACGTTGATATTTACGCTAGCAGCGAATTGTTCGTATTATTGCAATTATGAGTATACGTGCTTCAAATTATGTTCTATACAGGTCCTCGAAAACCCAAATGTTTGCTGTGAAAAAGAGCTAAAATTCCTCGTTTTCAGAATCGCTTAAAAGCCATTTTCTCCAAAACAGCCCCTAATTGTTACTTTCTCGTTGCCGCTACCGCGGTAGAAATTTATGTAGTGCTGCGCAAAAAAACGTCGAATTTTCGGAAGATAAACTTTTATTACAAGGCCCTGCCATCGAAAATATATAAATCCTGATGCTAAATTAGAAAAAAAAACTTCTAATACGCCGTGTAGCCAAAATCCATGTTTTGTGGGTCCTTGGTGCTGAAAAACAGAATGACGGCAAAACGTCCGTCTGATGTTGCGGCCCTTTCAATTTAAAGCCAATATTTTAATTTTTGGGGTTACTTTACATGAATATTTTCTGATTAAAGAATGGCTCCAAAGTTTTCGATTAAATATTGTTGTCGGATAGTGTGAAAGGCGTTTAAGATAATGGGCTAGGTCTCATTTTCGGTGAAAACTAATTATTCGGAAATTACAAAATTTCGAGATTTTTTCGACATCTTACTAGAACTACAAGAATGAGGATAGAGATTTTTCCCAAGTAAAATCTTTTTCTTACATTTTGAAATTAGATCCTAATCAACGTTTCGAAAATTTGAATACATTACGCGTAATTTTGTGACAATGTATGTTCTGTTATTAAACAACTAAAAAATTGTTTTTTTAACTGTTGGTCAAATGGTTGGCATTTTTTCATTATAGTAATTACTGCGAGGCGTATTCTATTGCGCCAACTGCCAGAGCTCATTTAAATAACTGGTAGTTTTTTACTAACTGAAGGTTTTCTCCCCCATTCGTTAAAGTTAATGAAGACACATACATAGTCTGATAGTAATTTATTCATGTAGAAATAGTTTGAAAATTATTAAGTGTTACAACATTATTTAATTAAATGATTCCGAAGTTCTCGCGCCTTGCCGGGCAGGCGCGCCCCACAATTTGAATCGCACTAATCTGGCGTAAAAGAAAATTGAAATTGATCTTTGACCCCACACCGAGGCAAGGAAAATATAAATAAAGTGCTTTTAATTGAATTCGAGTTCACTGTTTAGGGCCCTTGATAAATAGTGGCTGACCACTTCGGTGCCATTAACCACTTAGACGATTATATCTCCAAAAATCCGATATCACACAGTGGATCCCGACTTGTTCAAAGTTTTTCTATTATCTAAAAGCTCTTATGCTCTATTTTCAACAACCGTGAGAACAGTGTTGACACCAATGAGCTAGAATATACTACACAGAATGGCTGAAGCGCCTCCACCGTTGAAGCCATGTTTTTGCAGTCAAAGCAGCGCCCTCTGGGAAACAAAGCATTCTATACCGCAATTTATGCAACTCTGCTCCTGGTAGGTCTCAGCTGTTTACTGTTTTATCCAATAGGGTGCTTGGACGTTACTATGGTGACGTTTAATCTTCCGATTGGATGAAATTGCCCCCGACAGGTATCAGCTGTTAACAGAGTTGCGAAAATCGTAGTATAACATTACGTTTGGTTACGG